TTCCCACCCGCCCCGGTCCCCGGCCTGTTTTTTTTTCCTTTTCTGTTGCAGATCTCGGCTGAAAGGATGAGGCAGATCCCCGCTGCTGCCGGCCAGCCGGCCCTGCCCAGCACCCGGGATGACAGCAGGAGCAGGGTGCTGCTGCCCTTCTAACCCGGCCACCTCCTGGCGCCCATGACCAAGGACCATGCCCATGACGGAAGGACATAACCTCGCAGCACAAGGGGAGACCAGAGCTTTCTAGTCCTGTCCCTCGGTATCATGACTGGAGAGACCCAGCATGTTTATGCCATCAGCGATACTGAGGCCAGCGCCAAAGACCAAGAGAAAGACTTTGGCTTTGAGCGCTACGGCGAGAAGGATGGGAGGGCGTTCAACGGCAGCTTGCCCGAGGGCTCGGAGCTGTGCTTGCACAACGGCAGCGAGGGCACGTCCCCCTTCCCCAGCACCAAAGACAAGGAGCCCCACAGCCAGAGGGAGGCTGTGATCAGGCCGCAGCAAGCCGGGAAGATTGACTTCAAGTCCCTCCACAACAAGCCCAAGTTTGCCAATGACAGCGCCTGGAGCCCCCTCAAGGGGAGCCCGCAGTCCCCCACCGGGAAAGGCCGAGCCCGGGAAAAGAACAGGCGGTCAGGGAAAGGGGAGCGGAGCCACCACCAGCTCTACAGGCTCAGCATCACCAACGCCCGGCCAAACCCCACCATCGGCATCGCTTACCCCCAGCAGAAGGTCACCCCGCCGAAGAAGCCAGAAGTCAGCCGCGGGCCCATCTCCGGGAGCTACCGGTTCCACGTGCCCAGCATCCCCGAGAGAGAGGCCGAGCTGCAGCAGGAAGATCTCAGCTTCAACCGATGCTTCCCGGAGGCCCCCGCCAGCCTTACCTCCACCAACTATACCTCACAGCCAGCAGCCAGCGTGCGCCAGAACCACAGCATCAAAGGACAGTCCCCGGCAGGTATTCCCCTCAAGAGCCCCAGCACCAACGGGCAGCTACATTATTTAGAGTTTCAGGCAAACGGGACTAATTCTTGGCCTTCTCCAGAGAAGAACTTTCCAGGTGCTAACTATGGGGTCTCGGTGCAGAAGCCGAGCTCTTTTCCCGAGGGCAGCAAACCCAGCGCCCACGGCCTGGGGGCCTTGCCGTTCCAGTACCCTTTTCAGCTGCTGCACGACGCGGTGAAAGAGTCCTACCACAACGATGCTGGTAGCCAAGAGTACGTGGACGTTCCCCTTGCAGCCAGCCAGGTGACTCACGGTGCTTTCGGCTTCCATTCTTCCTCCCGAGAGTGGCAAGACGAGACGCTGAGCAATGGCTCCTATGAGAGCGTGTCCCCCGAGGGCCGGCTGTACAGCCTGCCCTCACAGCCAGCCCCCTTCCTGCCCCCGCAGCCGCCGGCAGTCCCCCACCATGGCCCTCTGCCATGCTACAAGGGCAGGAGCGAGCATTCTGCTGATCTCAATGGTGCTCTCTCATCGTCTGGTGCTATCGACCAAAATCCAAGCACTTTCCAAGAAAACCAAGCTGTTTTTCCGTCTAGTTTACACTCTCCTAGCATGCCAAAGCCAGTCAGTAAGAGGCAAGCCGCATCAAAAGACAGTGTCCCTAGCCCACGGCTACTGATCCAGAGTAGCTCTCTTAGAAGGAATATGCCACCGAACTCTCTCTCCCAAGTGCACTTTCAGAACAAAGTCTATTGCAGTTCCCCAGCGGGCAGCGTAAGCACAGGATCCGTGCCTTTTGAGACAAGCATTCCCACTACAACACCAACCCACCCCAGGCTTGTGCAAGCTTGGGAGGGTGCCACTAAGGCGTTTTCTCCCATGGACCAGAATTCAGCACCTTATTCAAACCCTGTTGGAAACCAGTTCTCATTTGAGTGCCAGTCTGGCCCTGAGCAGAGGCAGCACAGGCAGAAAAATGCCAGGATGCCTTGGCAGCAAATACACCTCACTTCTGCAGTGCCCGGTCAAAACAGGATAGAGCTGTCGAGACAAATCACCAGTCAGAAGCTTCCTTTCTCCCTTGGCACGTCAGAGTGGCAAGGGAGCGTGAAAGCCCAGAAGGGCACCCCCTTAAGTAACTCTCCTGGGTATCACAGCAAAAAGCTCTTGCCTGGAGAGGGCCTTGGGGCCCAGAGGGGTGACCCCAGCCGGCAGAGCTGCAGTTCAACGAGTGCTTTCTCCTTCGAAAGTGGAAAGGACCCAGGGTCTCCCGCCTGTGATTCAAGAAGCAAAGCCCTCTTCTACAGCATGGGCCAGGCAGGACCTCCTCCTCCTCCCTCCAGGAACTCATCCAGCTCAGCGTTGGTCTTGCCACCATCAGCCTTGGTGGCTGCCTCGCCGTGTGAGTCTCCGCTGCCTTCCCCTGTCCCCAACCCTACCTGCAGCAGCACCTGCTCCTCTCTGTCCCCCATGTCAAGCAGCCCGCTCAACCCCAGCTTTGAAGACAGCCAGATTTCTGGAGCACTTACGCCTTCTCCCTTCTTCCACCACCCTTGTCATCCCAAGGACAGCAACAAAACCTTCCACCCATCCGAAGTATTGAGCTCAGGCTCACTTCATTACCACCCCTCGGACTCTGTCAAGTCCTTCCACTTTCCTCCTGACTCCCTGAAGGATGACAGCCTTCTCAAATGCACCCCAGAGAGCCCATTTCACAAGCCCACCATGGAGGTGGCCAAAGGATGCCTTGATGGTCTCGAAGGGGAGCAACCTCCTCCACCTTATTCCTCCCATCACCTGCTGGCCAACTCACTCAGCAGCGCCAGCCTGGACCAACTGGATGTGCTCCTGACCTGTAAGCAGTGTGACCAGAACTACAGTAACCTCTCCTCCTTTCTGGAGCACCGGCAGTTCTGCAGCTCACACACCGCTTTCCAGGGTGAGACGAAAGACACTCCCCGGGCAGCGGAGTGCAGGAAGCCGCTCCCTCCGGAGCCCACAAAGCACTCCCAAGCTGGGCCAAACCTGGCACTTTCTCCTGACCCCCATGCGCATCTACTGGCTTTAAACAAGAATGATGATTTCCTGCTAGAGGGGGAAAGCAAGAGCGAGGTCAAGGAAGATTCTCTGAAAGGCAGTCTCTTCCATGGCCTAACCACAAACTCCTTGCCACTTACCGCATCTGACTTGGAAATCGATGATGCCAAGCTGGACAGTTTGATCACAGAAGCCCTAAACGGCCTGGGGTATCAGTCGGATAATCCAGAGATTGACAGCAGCTTTATAGATGTGTTTGCTGACGAGGAGCTTACATCCGTGAAGGCTGCTGGCAGTGGGCTGTCTCACAAGACAAAGGAAGCCTCCGAGAACAAATCGAAGCACATAGGAAAAGAGGAGAAGCCAGCGAGCCAGCCAAAACCCAACTATTATTATGAAGACAGCCGTCCTAGAGGGGAGAAGACTAAGAGAAGAACAGGAAAGCAGCACATTCATAAGGGGAGAGTGGGCCGGAGGTTGGCTGGCCGTGAGGCTGAGCGGCAGGAGAAGCCCTGCACACTGGAGCCAGCTCGGAGCAAATCTCCAGGTCAGGCAGCAGCCGAGGGAGGGGGACCTGACAAGGCAGTCAGGCTGAGGATGGGGAGAAAGAACAGCAGCAGCTGCGTTCCACCAGCAGCCGTAACCAAGTCTGCCTCAAACCAAAAGCAGCCCAGAAAGGTCAGCCAGGAGATTCACACAAAGAGTGAGGTTGGGTCAGGTGTCGTCACCAAGAGCTCCAAGCCGTCCCGGTTCTCCATGAAGGACATAAAGAAGCGGAAGCCACGAAGTGGGACGTGGAGCAAGGAGCTCATTCACAAAATTGTGCAGCAGAAGAACAAGTTCCACAAGCTGCACGTGAAGAGCAACAAGCACATGCAGTTCTCCTTGGTCACTGAGAGACCGATACCAGCTGCCAAGGAGGGTAAGTTTCAGGAGTACGACTACATTTCAGACTCAGATGACGAAGGGGCAGAGTGCACCAAACTCCATGGGAGGAAAAGGCAGGGAGGAGGATTTAGTGGGAGGTCCAAATACAGCTTTAGCAAGAAACGCCCTGGAAGAAGTGAGAGAGCCAAAGAGAAAGATCCAGCCTGGAGCTACAGTCGAAAAAGAGAGAGTCAGAAAAGAGAGACTCAGGAGCACAGGAGGGTTCCAAGTAAGGAGGCCACCAAGAAAGAGGATTGTGCAACGAGGGCCCGAAGACGGAGCAGCCAGTCATCTACTGGCAGCAATCACAGCACTAGCATATCCAGTGAAACTGGTCCCAGCCCCCCCTGCACTGAACGGGCTGATTCGGACAGTGAGAAGGGAAGCATGCAGACGAGAAGGCGCTCGGACAGTCCGGAGCACGCACCAAGGACTCCACTTGGCCTTCCCAAGGACAGGAGCCCAAAGAATAGCCATAAAAGCAAAGAGGACTTTTCAAGAGGGACCAGACGGTTTGGCTCAGCCAAATTTTTGTTAGCAGGCTCCAGAACACATCCAAGTACTAAATCAGATGTTCCTCTGACAGACTATACAAAGGAGGAGCGCTTACCACAGGCCCAGGAGAAGCAGCACCCCAGCACAGAGACATTTGGCAGGAGTCCCATTAGGCTTTCCTGTAAGAAGGATGCAGAAGAACCTAAAGAAGCAGCAAGCCATGCAGGTGTGACAGAGAAAACTATTCTGGAGGCTCAGGAGTCACCTGAGTTGACCATTGTCAGCCACAGGCATCAGTTTGCCCCTTACACTGACGATGTTCTGAAGTATCATGCAGAAGAGCTAACTGATCCATCTCACGTCAGTAACGAAGCTAGTCCTGGCAACGCGAGCACTGCCTACTCAGAAGCTGGCATCAAATACTTGAAGGAACATGGGCTCTGTGACAGTCGGAAGGACTACCCTGCTCCAGTTGCCCCCTATGGGGGGGATGCTGTTGGGATGATGCTTGCTGGCAAAGTGCCTGATCCGTACATGAATAGTGACAACACATTTTTCGATCACAAAGGCCTGCCCGGTCACTATGGGTCCAACCTCTTCTCAAAGCCCCCAGCTTTGGGGTCCTCGCACATTGACGATATGTACTTATGCCGGGATGACATTAATACCGGCTCCTTCGAGCAGAAGCACGCCAATATCTCTCCCTATGCAGCAGGAAATCCACAGGTCAAGGTCTCCTCCCCTCTCAGCTTCGATTCCTCTTCGATATTTGGAGAACTTCCTGTAGCTGAGTTCGATCCTCCATTATACGAAAGCGTTTCTGCGAGCAAGGACAGTTATGTGACAACATTTGCCTGCCCTGGCAATCCACCCAGCAAGCCACTGCCATTTGAGCAGCCGTATCCGCCATTTATGCAGGAGAAAGACTGGGCCCTCATGGAGGAGGTGACTCCGATGTTGCCAGAAGACATGACTCAGTTCCACGACCTTTCAGCAGAAAAGCCATTAGCCAAGAAATTCCCTGATGAAGGACCTGTCCCTCCCAACCAACTGTCTCTGCCGCTGTCAGACAGGATAACAGATTATAACGTAACTTTTATGAACAATATATCAGATGATGAACTGGAGATCAAACGATTAGTTACAGAACTGGAAAGTCAGCTGCAGACTGGCAAAATGAGTAATGAGGCATCTGTCGCTCTACAGAAACCTGAGCAACACATTGCCACACAGCTGCGAGAACAGGCAGCCGAGCAATTTCCACCTCTGCCTGTTGCTCAAGAGACCGGTCATGAAAAGGGACTGTTTTTGGCAGGTGACCTTGGGAGTACAAACCTTCTAGCTGTGAAAGTCTGTGTCGGCGAAAGGTTGGGGAGCGAGAAGCCAGGTGTTGCCAATGCACACAGCAACTATGAGAGACCCAAGGAGCCCTGGCCCTGCCCCGTGGAGTTCAGTTCACTGGAAGCAGGGATGTGCACCCCAGGCCCCAAAGACTCGCTCTCTGTGGACCATTTCTGCTCCAAAGACGCCGGTGATCAGTTCCAGGGAGCTGAAAGTGCCAAGGAAAGTGACTCCAGAAAGAGGGAGAAAGAGTCTTCCTCCCAAGGTCTACCTGACTCGTGTATGCCAGACAAAATAGAGGCTCCGATCTACACAGACCATATGATAAAAACCTCTCCTGTTGTCACTGACTCCTTGTTCCCTAAGACTTTAGAGGCAGCTGAACCGAACAAAGATGATATTCTACCGTCCCTGCCATGTAAGCGTGGTGCTGAGAGCTTCCCTGAAGCAGGGAAAATAGATAGAAGCGATGATTCTGCAGAGCTGAAAAAGTTTGATACACATCTTCCAACCCTTAAACCTGAATTTGGCCTTCCGCAGGGTCCGACCCCAGCCTTGGATCTCACCTTTTCGTCTCACATCAAAGAGGTCCCAGACAGAGAAGAAAGATCTTTAAGCAAGTCCGAGTCACCCAAAATGGTAAAAAGCGCAGTGCCCTTCAAAGGGGATAGCGGTGGGTCTGTGTTACTGGAAGAAACAGAGGAGAGCAAGAGCACTGCAGCCTACCAAGCCCCTGGGACCAGTGACAAAGCCAGCAAGCGAAAAGTGTTGTTGCTTGATATGCTGAGTTTGCCCAAGGAGAGTGACTGTGGTTCCCAGAAGAGACTGGCTTCTCAGGAGACTGCTGCAAACCCGCTGCAGCAGCTCCAGCTCTTCGTTGCCCGGACTGTGAAGAACAACGAAGACGAGCTGTTGATGCCATGCTTCCCCATGCTTCTTGCTCCCAACCACCTGCCTTCCAGTGCCAGGGTCCAGCCGGAGCAGAAAGAGGAGAGCAGCGAGAGCTTGGAAAGTGAGAAACGGACATGCTGCCCTGCCCAAGAGGAGGGGAATGTCGCCACTGGAAGTGAGGCAGAGAGCATAGCTACCCCGTCTAAAGAGACTGCACTCTTCTCAGGTGCATGTGAGCAGCTGGAATCAGTCAGTGAAATGGACTCTTGCTGTGCAAAACAATCTGCATTTGCGAACCTGGAGCTGCAAAATAATGTAACAGAGCTGCAGCACTTAGCAAATGAACATGCAGAGCCAAATGACATTAATATCTGTGCAGATGGTGTTTCCCAAGAGCGTAATGACCTCTCACCACTTCACAACACAGTGGTGACCCCATTGCCAGGGCAGGGAAAGAAAGCTGATCAGCTTGTGGAAGAGAAGGAGCAAGATAAAAACAAAGCGACCTTGGCATTTAAAAAACATGAGCAATCCCTTTTAAGCCATAGTTCACTTGAGAAAGAAACATTGGGCAGTGCAGCAGCAGAGAGGCTGGAAACGAATGAATCTGAATGTAGATCCTGGTGTGAGGGATCTAAGCAGGATGTGCAGTCTTTAGGCTCCATAAAAACCAAGCGGATAGGACCAGGCAGTAATCAAGTAGGGCACGGGACACGGCCCCTGTGCAGTGCATCTGCGAGTCCTGTCAGCCCACTGAATCCCTCAGATGATCTCCACCAGGATCATTATTTGCTGCAGGGCACAAAAGCCTGCACAGTAAATGCTAAGGTTCCCAAAGAAGGGAATGGCAAGAAGTCCGTCAATGGCTGTCACTACACAAGCAATTCTCTGGCCAGCCTGCCCTTGCAAACAAACTTGTCTCATCCTAAATACTTGCAAAGCAATGGTGCTGAAGGAGGAGAGTTCCCCAGCTTCAGCACTCAGCTATCGGAGGAGAGTAATTACAGTGCCTCTTTGCTTAATGCAGAGACTCCATCAAGTTCATTTATCATGAAGAGCTGCCCTCCCAAGGCCGACAGTAGTGACATTTGCCACCCCACCCCAAGCCCATTAGAGCAAGGGAAGTGGAGACGAGTGCATACCTTTCCTCTCGCTCTGCATCCCTGCAGTGCCAGTGCTCCCGCACCGTTGGAGACAATGGGAAGCAGTCACCACCACCTTCCCGAAGGCGTCCTGAGTAACTACGGACCGCCTGAAAGAGAAGGACTGGCAAGACCCCATGATCCTCTGTGCACTGATGGTCTGATGGGCCCTGCTCTGGAGGTCGAAGGTCCCCAGAAACTGCATGTGAAGGACTGCTCACTTCCCTGCTTGCCACCATTCAACCAAAAGGATGTTGGGAAAGAGGTACCAGAAAGCCCCGGTGCCGTGCTATCAGGTGCTCATTTTAAAGAAAACAAAGCATGCACTGTCACAGATAAAATTATTAGTTCCCAGTCTGTTCCTCCAGAAACCCAAGGTTACCCGACCCAGCCCACGACAGATCTTCTGCTGATTAGAGAGAGAGAGGTGAACTTAAATCAGAAAGCGCTTGAGAACTGCTCTCAAGATGCAAGTAAACATCAAAATGAACCAGAGGCTTTGTCCAATGGTTCTGTTGTTCAGCAGATACCACCTGCTGTCAACAGCAGTCCTAAAAGGACTGCAGATCTTGGTCCTGCTAAACTAAATGCCCACCATTTTTCAGAGGCAGCAGAGGTGCGATCTGGTGATCTTTCCAAAACTACAGAGAATGGAGGAAAGAATTTAAACGGAGAGAAACCCAAAAGCCATGGAGCTGAGCACGGTGGTGAAGCTGGGAGTTATGTGTTAAATAACGCGCACCAAGGAGAGGACAACATGTTTAACAGCGTTCCGAACACTTCCCAAAATGAACTTCTAAAAGAAACGAAGCCAAATGGGCTCCAGGTCACCTGTGATATTTGTTCAGCCTCTTTCCGGTCCAAGCCTGGCCTGACCAGGCATAAAGCTGTCAAGCATCAGGTGAAGAATGGTGGCGTATCACAGGCAAGCAAGACTCCTAGATCCGATTTAATTCCAGTGGACAAAGCATCAAAAGCAGGCAAAAAGGTCCCTAGGAGGGCCCTGAAGACATCTGTCAAAGAGAAAATCTGCAGCTCGCAAATGCCAACCACAGCTGTTGAGCACATCCCCAAGAAAATATGCACAGGCCTAGAAAAAGAACCCAATGCACAGATGCAAGAAGTAGTCAGCAGAGTGCTCAGTGACCTCAGTGTTATGTCCTTTGAGATGTCCCAGGAGCTTCATCGCACGGGTATTCTGAACAGAGAGATGAAGGCAAAGTATCAGCGCTCAGAGACAAGGGGAGCAGATGAGGCAATGGGTGAAAAGCTGGATCCTGCAAAGCAAGCCAGGAAAGGAGAAAAGGGCAGAAGGAACCAAAGCAAAGATCCTGGAGGAGTAAACAGCAATTCTGAAAAGAAGCTAAACAGGAAAGTGAGACGAAGGAAAGCAAAGGTATTTCCCAACAGAAATGAGCCCGATGGTCCATCAGAGCTGCAGAAGAATGTGAATTCGGGTCCTTCCCTTGCTATCCTCAGCAGTGTCAGCTCCAGTCTGTCCAATATGATCGAGGGCTTGCATGAGCCAGGCAGTTGCATCTCAACAGAGGAACAAAAACAGCCCGACTCATCCCAACTCTCTCAAAAAGCAAAACAGTGCCCTTGTGCAGTTGAGCATGCACAGGACCTGGGCAATAGGATGGAGTCTTCAAAGGAGATGGTCAGAACAGAGTCAATAAAGGGCACAGTTGCCTGTCCTGCAGAGGTGGAAGATCCAAGTCAAGAGGAAAACACACAGGCTTGCAAGAAATGGGTTAGTGGGTTTGTGAAGCAAGTGGAGAAGGGATTGGGCAAGGTAGGCAAAGAATGGCATCTTCATGTTGATGGCACAGATGAGATGGACGTTGAGACAAGAGACAGTTCTGAGGGAAAAAGCTGCTCCGGGAATCAGAGCAGTACCCTGCAGGGTCCCACAGGTTCTGCCAAACAGGACCTGCCACTGGAAAAGCGTGATTCAGAAACCACCCAAAACGCTCCCATGCAAAGCACACTGCAAAACACTTCTGCTGCCGGCTCTCCCTCTGGAGCGCCTAAGCACTGGGCGAAGGGAGACTTGCAGCAGAGCAAAGAGCACTGCATGGACAGTGCGGCCGTCTCAGACCTCCAGAGCTTGTTTGATGATGACTCCACGTTCTCCCAGCTGTTTCCACGGGACGACCAGTTCATCCGGAGGAAGTGCACACGGGTGTATGGGAAGCGCACCAAGAAACCCAAGCCTGTCACCGAGGTAAACATCCGGCCAGCGGGTGCCATCGACCTCTTTACTATCCGACTAGCTTCTGACCTCAGTGAAACCAGCTCTTTCTGTGTCACCAGGGAGGATCCTTGTGAATATGAAACCATCTCTATCGACGATGCCTTAATGCTAAACATGTGTCACAGCAGTAAGGCGAAGAGCGGAGATCCAGTTCCCAGTGGATCTAAAAATACTGCGTTGAGGTCAGACCGTGAGAAGATCAACCAAGAGAAGGAGGTCATTGACCTGGAAGATAACAATGTGCTAACCTTCTTGTGCCAAAACAGCCAAATGGAAAATGTCCCCGGCCTGAACATTTGGGGCAGTCTGGAGAAGAAGGGAGAAAGCATCTCTGCTGAGGAAATGTTTGAGCCGCCGATGGGCCTTGAGAATGAACACTCACTAGGAGAAACGAGCTCAGAACCTCCCGACCTGGCGGAGGAGCCCTACGATGGCAAGGTTAGCGAAGATTCAGACTCTCCTGAATTTCATACAATTGACATGGAGATGCTGAATGCAAAGCTGAAAATGAGAGACATGTGTTTCTTCAGCTCTTGCGAAGATCTTCCTGGCCATACCGATGAAAATACTGTGAGTTTCAAGCAAAAACTGGGCCAGCATAGCAAACACAGCAGAAATAGGCTAGAAGATGGGAAGCTGGGGAAAAACCGCAGTGATGTAAGCATCAAGTCCAAAGACAAGCAATATAAATGCAAAGTGTGTTTCCAGTGGTTCCTGACATTAGGGGAACTGGACTTCCACAAGCTCACTCATAACCCTTCCCCTCCTCCTACCTGCTACATGTGCGTCCAGCGCAAATTCAGCTCTCGGGAGCAGCTAAGGGACCATTTGAAAGAGAAGCATGCCAAAAACAAGGCTGGTCTGTGGGCTTGCGGGATGTGCCTGAAGGAGATTTCCGACGTCTGGATGTACAACGAGCACCTCCGAGAACACGCCACCCAGTTTGCTCGAAAAGGGCAAGCACAGAAGTCCGTGATGGGCCTGCCTGCCTGCTTTGGTGAGGACAGCGCCGCTGTCACCCATTTCCTCAACACCATCATGTATCGGAGACCCAGCAAGTCCTCCAGGCACGCCGACTCCAGCAACAAGCATCCGGTTAGCAGAGAGAACAAGAGCCCCAAAGAGCTGCCCCTTGAGCAGGAGGCCAAGGCGATGAAAGACCCCTTGGAAAGCAACATCAAGGTCAAGCCTTC